AGGGGGTTGCCGAGTGGCCGGAGCCGGCAGAGGTACTGTATGGCACTGTCCGCTGGGCCAAAGCACAGGGCCCAAGGCAATCACCCCAATTCACCACCCCGGGGACAGCCCTGCCAATCCCCTTCCCCTGTCCAATCCATTGCTCTGCTTTCTCCTCCCTTCCCTATGCTCCCTGCCTGATCTGCTGCTCTATTTTGTGCTTCCTGCCCTATCTGCCACTGTGCTGCCTCTCCCCTCCCTGATCTACTGCATGTCAGACACAGAGGCAGGGAGAGAAAAAGTATAAAAGTGACTTTTTTCCTTAGGATTACTAAATACCGTTATTTATACTTGTGACATGCACCTTGGTCAGCCCTGTCATAGGTAATTGTACATTTTCCCATAGAAACTTTAGAGACCTCATTTTCCATTCTGCTCCCCTTCAGTTTCTGATATCACAGCTTCCAGAAACTCTCATTCCTGACAGTGTTGCTCAGTCAGCTAGGCCATTTCTGAGTAAAACGAGACACCATCACCCAAAGACACTGACGGATTACTTGTTAGCACTGAACAAAATTAATTAAGGTCTTTGATAAGAATCCTATTGAAGGTAACAAGCAGCTGTTCAAAATGCCACAGAGCTTTCAACAATAATTTCCTCTCCCCTTCCTCACACCCAATATAGCATTTTCCAGGTAAGTATCATAGAACATAACAAATATTATTCAATAGAATTTTAAAGCAGAAACTACAGTGTACACAGTCAGAAACTGTGACTAGATTAATCATAGAAAGTTAGGGTTGGACGTCAGGAGGTCTTCTAGTCCAGAGTTCCTTGCAAAGGTCTTGTAGGTGGGACTCGAGTCACGGTGGTAAAACCAGAAGTGCCATGGCGGTACTTCCGGATTCGATTTTTGTGAACTTCTATCGGCTGCAGAGGGACCTCCCCCAGTGACTGGTGGGACCAGGATTTTTTGACCTTACGTAGGTGGGATGTAAGGTGCAAAAGGTTGAGAGCTGCTGATCTAGTCCAACCAACCCCCTGCTCAAAACAGGACCATCCCCAACTAGATCATCCTAGCCAAAGCTTTGTCTAGCTGCGTTTTGAAAACCTCCAAGGATGGAGCTTCCACCACCTCTCTGGGTAACCTGTTCTAGTGTTTTACTACTAGGAAGAGAAAATTCTTCCTAATATCTAACCTAAACTTCCCTTGCTGCAACTTAAGACCGTTGCTCCTTGTCCTGTCATCTGCCACCACTGAAAACACTGTAGCTCCATCCTTTCACACCCCCATTCAGGTAGTTGAAGGCTGCTATTAAATCCCCTCTCGGTCTTCTCTTTTCTAGACTAAATAAGCCCAGTTCCTTCAGTCTTTCCTTATAAGTCACGTCCCCCAACCCCCTCAACATTTTTGTTGCCCTCTGCTGGACTCTCTAATTTGTCCACATCCTTTCTGTAGTGGGGACCCAAAACCAAACACAGTACTCCAGATGTGGCCTACCCAGTGCTAGATAGAGAATAATCACTTCCCTTGACCTACTGGCAACAGCCTTCACTCTGTCTCTGTCTGTACAATAGATAGTGTAACTTGTAGCATACAAATCCTGGTGCTTGGGTCTTCTGACACTGGAATTGCTTTTAGGAAGCAATGAAGTGATATATACTGTTCAGAGAATTATTATGTGACAAAATAAACAATTAGTGAAATAAATGGTTGAGATTTTTGACCATGTATCTTCTCTCAGATAGTACCAAGGCAGCAAAAGGCAGTATGTGAACACAGCTGTTTCCTATTATGGTATGCCCTGCCTGTTCCTTACACCAAGACAAAAAGGCCTGCCATAGGCTGGGGGTTTAACGTCTGACTAAATGTCTTTCAACAAGCGAAGAAGATAAAATGGAGAAGGGAACATTCTTCACTCTGTCTCTACAATAGATAGTGTAACTTGTGCCATACAAATCCTGGTGTTTGGGTCTTCTGACACTGGATCTGCTTTTATGAAGCAATCACCTTAGTTGCTGCCTCCTAAGTCTCTATTTAAGTGACCTTGTCTCTCCAAAGAATGCTCTTTCCCTTAAACAAGCAGCCGGCATCTTACCCACTGGCTATTTGTCCCATTGCACTAGAGTAGATGCTTTGTAGCCTGCACTTCCAGATCACCTTGGAAAAAAGTGCAGACATTCTCCTTGCTGTATCTAGGTTTGACATGGACCCATGGGGAAAAACATCTATCTTAACTGAACCCTCCTTGAACACTGCCACAATGGGCTCCTGCAGGGAACAAAAGCAGGACAAAAACTACCCTTTGGAACTTTCCCTCAACAGGCATACAACTGTTTTTAACTCAAACCACCCTAGCTTTTTACAGGATACTCCAAATTTGGGCACCTGAAAAATCTTTCATGTTGCTACACAAAATGTTTATATATTATCACAAAGCATGTGATCAAATTGTGTTACAATAAGAATTAGAATTTGCTGTGTTTATCAGGAACAAACACTCCAGTGACAGGAAGTTTAATGTGATAAAGTACTGTTACAAGAAGCTATCAAAGCTGGGAGTTTTTCTGGGTATTTTTGCTCAGGGTGCATGTTACATTTGTCAGGGTTTCATGATTTACTTACTCAGAATACTATGTTTCTATAGGTAAGTCTCAAGTAAGAGAAATACACATATGCTGCTGTGGAAGGAGAAGAAGTAGTAGTGGCAAGCAGCATCTTTTTTAAAAAATACGTAGTTCTGCCTTTTGTAGAACTATTTTACCAACACAAAAATACGTTACGTTCTGTACCTCTGACTTGAAGGAGGTATATAGCATGCCTTAGTTAGGAAGCATGGCCATTTGAATGCTTTTTGTATTTGTTTTTGGGTATTTCTGATAGAAAACCCATGAATATGGTGTGGGGCATAACGGCTTCAGTTTACATAAGAAGGATCATCATTCAAAATGGTGCAGAAAGATTTCTAACAGTTTCTGCTGTGTGCAATTATATAATATTACTGTCCCAGATAAAAGAATAATGCACAAAACATTTGCCCATGTATGCAGGGTAGTCAAAATTGTAGCCTTGGTACCTATACCAGAAAGTGGCTCTCCACTGTTTAGTAACACCTCACTGACTGCAAATGATATAATTCTGCAAGAGTTTAAAAGGTGAGGCAGAGGCATGTTCTGGAAAGTATGGTCATTTGCTATCCCAACATGGGCCATCACGTATATAGAGCTAGAGGCAGAGCTCTTGTCCTGGTAATACTGTGAAAACAGTCACTCCTTTAGTTTTTTCCTTTGCAGTGATACTGCTTTGGGTTGTGTTGATAGGATAAAAAGTCAGTAAGAATAAAATTTAGATTACGTTATGCAACACTTCCTAATTCTTTGAAACTAAAGCACAGTTTTATCACTGCTCGTTCCACTCATGTTGGTGCATTTTTAATATCAAATAACTAATCTGATACGGTCAGCAATTCAAAAAAATATCAGTTTTTTCTGATTTCTCTGAGTACTTACAATCATCAGGCAAAACTTCTTTGAACTGTTCAAAATATGAATTCAACCGAACCAAGCTCTCCATATTAATTACTTCTTGTAATGAGGTGTCTCCAAACCTTTAAAGATGAAGACGGGTATAACATTAGTTAGAGACATCTTTTCTAACAATTAACTTCATTTGACAAGTAAGTCTGAGCAGAAGACTTAAAGATTCATCCTAAGAAATTCCAAAAAGTCCAGATTTCTACCTGGATAGTGATTAGATCAGCATGAAAACCAGTGATATTTATTACATGCATGGGTGTAGGTGTGGATAAAAACAATTAACATTAAACTCTTTTGGCTTCTCTTTCTTCCAACATTAAAAGTAAACTTATTTGGAAAAGTCTAAAAATGTTTTTTTTGGTATTTATAATATAATTTGAAACTTCTGATTCTCTTGCTATAAGCTTATATAAGGACTCCAAACAGAGAATAAAGGAGGTGGGTGTGATCAATCGCATGTGATTAGGAGATATGGGCAAGAAGAGGTCAAGATCTCAGTGTTACTGCAATAGCCACACAATGACAAGGGAATATATTTAGGTTTAGGAGCAACTGGTGACTGCTTCTGTGACCACCAGGAATGGGAGTGAGACCACAACAACTTTTCATGTAGCCACAGATCAATTTTCAGAGAATCTCTCTTAGTAAGGTCACTAACTCCCATGAGCCATGACTATACGGATAAACTAGGTTTCAGTATTTCCATAAGCTGCTGTAAACCCATATGCTTGTTTTAAGGGGTTCTCCATGGGCAATATGCACATGCAAAGTTCCTTATATGATGAAGCTCACAACAGGGAAAGGCTTCACTTTATGAACTTGTCTGTTGTCTCTTAAAACTATCTTTAATAGTATGCCCTTCTTCTATTTTGCTAGTGATGCTTCTCCATTTTTTCTTCTGTGACAAAAAAAACCACAACACAATTGCACAGCAGGATAAGAGATTATCTCAATGCAGCTAAGCCAAGTTGGGGTACCCTGATACATACTTCTCTGCCAGGGTTTGTTGTTCATTGATTCCCACATTGAAGAGAACAGGCTGAACTCTCAGTAACATGCCACTCTGAATCTCTCGGGGCAACATATCAAACAAGGCGCTTGGCAGTGGAATCCTCACATTAAAGCCATCACTACAAACAAACAAAAAATACCAGAAAATATTAGAACTGAAGCATACAGATCAGTAAGCATTCTTTTTTTTTTTTTAAACAAAATGCATTATTTCTTTTAACTAGGGATAATATGTGAAATATATTGGTAAGGCATCAGTTAAAACTAAAGTGGAATAGACTGCCTAGGGAAGTTGTGGACTCTACATTACTGGAGGTGTTCAAGAGGGTGTACAACCACGGGTCAGAGATTCATAAAGCCATAGATTGTAAGGCCTGAACGGACCTCAGAAGAACATCAGGTCCAGCCCCCTGCACCAAGCAGGAAAGATAACTGGGGGTGAGGTGACCCCAGCAAGGTGGCCATCCAGTCTCCTCTTGAAGATTTCCAGGGCAGGTGATTGCACCACCTCTGGAGGGAGCTTATTCCACAGTCTGGACACCCTAGTTGTGAAGTAGTTTTTCCTAATGTTGAGATGATCTAAGCATAGCTATGCTTATGTTCTACCATGGGTATTTCTCAGGCTTCTAGGCTTTGCTGGTTGCCCCACCCCCTCTTTTTGCTATGTGTCAGGGCATTCCCACAGGCATTGGCTGTTGGTTACAACCAAGGCTGGGGACCTGGACTGGGGTGTACCAATGTTCCTCTCAGGAACAAAGCTGAAGGTTCCTGGCTAGAGGTCTTGCACTTCTGCTCAGGGTCAAACTGATCACCATATTTAGGGTCAGGAAGGAATTTTACCCCAGGTCATATCTGTATGGACTGTGGGGGGTTTTACCTTCCTTTCTGGGGGGGGGGGGGGGGGGGCCCCTCGCGGGGGTTCTTTTTTTCTTTATTTTAAACTCTTCTTCAAAAAGGAGGATGGGTGGGCG